CAAGTAGCTGGAACTACAGGCGCATGCTACCATGCCTGGCTAATTTTTTAAAAATTTATTGTAGAGATGAGGGCTCGCCAAGTTGCCCAGGTGGGTCTCGAACCCACGGGTTTAGGCAATCCACTCACCTCGGCCTCCCAAAGCGCTGGGATTACAGGCTGAGCCATCGAGCCCAGCCTGATTGTTCATTTGAAATATCAAATTAAAAAAAAAATCCTCTGTCATACCTCCAGGCCAAGGAACGTTGCCTCATGCCACCCACCAGATTCCTTTCCTCAAACAACTCTTTCATGAAGTCATTCCACTGTTCAGAAACCATCAGTGGCTCCTTATTTCCCACCTTATCGTGGCCACACTCTCCTGCCTGGCTTTTCAGGCCTTAGTTAAATAAGCTTCATCTGACATCTCCTACTCCTTGGTTCCTCTCCAGTCGTGTTGGTCTGCTCACCACACAAGTGAGTGCCAGCCTCATTCCCACTGCAGAACCTTTGCTCCCGTTTATTCTCCCCCACATTTGGCCTGTCCTGGCCTGGAGCGAGCAGCCTCTTTCCCTCTTGCCTTCCTTCCCGAGCTCTCTTCTCAGCCCAGTGCAGGAGTCAGCCTGCTTGAGACCTTGCCTGATCACACCAGCCTTCATCCTCTCCTTCTCCGAATCGATCTCTTACAATTTGACAGCTAATCACTGACTTTTATTAGTTTGCTCTTTCACTTCCATTAGTTGTTTCCCTGAGTTTCTTATATAGTCCCTGTGAGCAGAGTCCAGGAGTTCTCTCTGGCTCCTCCTACAGCATCTCACACAGCACTGAGCACTAGGTCAGCTCCATCAGAGAATTATGAGTGATTGATGGAGTGTTTCCATCCTGAGATTGAGCACCTGCTGCCTGCAAGCCTTATATTTGGATGCTCTTGGGATATAGGTTGGATCAATAAGCCTGGTCTTCATTGGGGGGTGCTTACGGTGTAGGTTGGGGGCCTGTGGATTCATCGTTGCAGCTGCGGATAAATATGGCCAGAGTGTGGTGTGGGGTGATGGGGTTACTCAGGCATGCTGTGAGCTTCAAGGGGTGGCACTTTGATAGGGAGGATGGGTGAAAGGAACACTCAGAGACAAGAGGGAGTGCATGCCAGTATCCAGGGTCCTGGGTCCGTTCCTGAGCCCTGAGAATGGAAGGGCCATCCGGCCATCCTGGGAGCCCTTTAAACTGGCCCCCAGGATGGGAGAACTTGAGATTCTCTGGGAAGGACCTGAGCCTGGATTGGTGTCTCTGTGCCTTTCCTCAGGCTGAGGATGTCACCTTCCTCTACCACCCCTGTGCCCACCCCTGGCTGAAGCTCCAGCTTGTCCTCTTGGCCCACATTTGTGTGGCTAAGCCCTCACTCACCCCTGACTCCAACCTCACTCAGGATCGGGTAAGTCGTGGATGAAAGGCAGCTATCTGGCCCTGGCAGGAGACTGCAGCCCCATGTGCAGGGAAAGGAAAATTCAGGGGCTTTCTCTCACTACCCACCTTCACCTGAATTCTAACAGTTAGCTCCTCTCATAGCCCCTGGTGCTGACAGCATGGGGGGTGGCACTGGAAATGGCATGGGTAGAGCCAGCCTGGGCTGCTCACTGGCTGAAGAGGCGGAAGAGGAAGCAAAGGAAGAAGAAAGCATGGATCCACTGTGATGGCCTTTCTGGGCCTTCTCCCTTGGTGCCAACCCCAGGCTGGAGGAGGCTGTGCCGAAGAGGGTGTGCACAGGTGAGGGATGCTGGGCCCAGGCTGGGTTAGGGGTCGGGTCACTGGGTTATCCGAGCAGGGCAGCAAGGTAACCGCCGTCTCTTCTCCCCTTAGGCCCTAGCGTTGGCCTTTGCTCTGCGGAGCTGGAGGCCCCCTGGCACAGGGGTGACATTTAGAGGGCCCAGGCAGCCCTCTCCCCGTGGTGCCAGGAGGCGGGGGCTGCGGGCTGCCCTTGGTCTCCAGCCCACTCACTCAGCCCCAAGGATTCCCTCTGCTTCCCCATCGAGTGTGAAGGCCAAGCTGCTCATGCCGGGACTTCCGGGTGAGGCCGGTAATACCCCATCTGTGCCCACTGTCCCCGTGCTGCCTGGGGGGCCTGGAGGCAATGCCAGCTCCAGAACAGATCCGCAGGTGTCCAACGGGCAAGGCAGCCCAGGGGGCTGTGTCTGTTCAAGTCAGGCTTCCGCAGCCCCTCGCGCTGCAGCGCGTCCGCGGGCGGCCCGGGGCCCCACCCCACGCACGGAGGAGGCCGCCTGGGCTGCCATGGCCCTGACCTTCCTGTTGGTGCTGCTCACCCTGGCCACGCTCTGCACACGGCTGCACCGAAACTTCCGACGGGGCGAGAGCATCTACTGGGGGCCCACAGCAGACAGCCAGGACACGGTGGCTGGTGAGAAGCACCCTCCCCACCCGCCTCACCCCCATGGCTTCCCTGCCCTCCACGCCCTTGACTGCCGCGCACCCTGCCCACAGCTGTGTTGAAGCGGAGGCTGCTGATACCCCCGCGCCGGGCCAAGCGCTCCCGCCGGAGACCCCTCCTCCCGCCCACGCCGGACAGCGGCCCGGATGGGGACAGCTCGGAGTAATCCGCCCCAACCCTGCCGCTGTGGCGGGCCGGACTCCTCCTCCCGCTGCGAGGCCGCGACCTCTGCCACGTGGACCGCGCGCGAGGGCGCCCCCTAGTGGCAGACGGAGCGGGCCTGCCCGAGCCGTGCAAGGGCTCTTTCCTCCTTCCTGTGTTTGGGAGGCGGGCGGCCAAGGAGAGAAAAAGGGTTTGTTTCTGCCTCCCTTGCCAAAATTCTCTGTATTTCTAATTAAATTATTTTAGTAGAGTCTGGAGTTGAGTTTGTGCATCCGTCGCACAGAGCTACTCCCACCAGGACACTGGTGCTATCCATCCAGGTGGTGGTTGAGGTAGGGGGCTTATATCAAATCTGATCGAGCACCTGCCAGCTTCCTCTAGCCAACTAGACACTGGGTTTTAGGAGACAGTGGGCGGGTGGTGTCAGTTACAGAAAGTGTTATTCCCAAACTCCTAGGAGACTTTGCCAACACAAGGGCTTCCCTAGTGCCAGGGTCTTGGGGGCCCTTGCAGTATTTCCCCCGTTCATGCCCCCCCCCCCCCCCCGGATTCTGTGAGCACCAGAAACAGCACATGGTCACTTCTTTATTTTTGATACAAATGTACATGACACATATCTTGACAGTCAGCCCACCCACCACCAAACAGGCAGGGCCTGGCCCCCCCAGGGAAGAGGCAGGATGGGAGGAGAGCTGGTAGGCTGCTGTCTGCCTCTCCAGCCTTCCCAGGCTGCGGCCAGGTTCCCAGGCCTCCAAAGGGTGGGACCACAGCAGGTGCAGGTAGTGATGGTGGATGCTGGCCTCGCAGAGGTTGTAGGGAGGGGACTCTCAGCTCCACAGCCACTAGCTGAGTCGGGGACCCTGGGGAGCCAGCCCCAGGCTCAGGTGCTCAGTCCTCCCCACTGGCCAGCACACATTCCCCCTCCACAAGGGAGTGGGAAGAGAGATGGAGGGAAGTGGTTTTCATTTTAAGTTCACAGAGAGGGGGTACGAGTGGGGAAGTGATGAGAAGAGTCAGCGGGCAGGACCACAGCTGGCTACCCTGGCAGTCCCTGGCCCCAGGTGGGGGAGAGGGAAGCTGACCCCCAGTGCTGGTCCCACTGCTTTGGTCCCCTCACCCCTCAGAACTCCAGATGGACCAGGCCTCCGGAACGGCACTGCCGCCCGCACACTCACACGCAGGCACGCAGGGCCACTCAGTTACCACAAAGTTAAAATTAAGAAGTGGGGGAGAAGAGAAGGAAAAAAAAGGTTTTCCAGTGTTTGCTGCTGGGGACCCCGGCACACAGGTTGGGGCCTGTGCCCTAGGCAGAGGCCGTTTGGCATTAAAGGAGAGCAGCAAGGGGCTAATGGCTACAGGGCAGGGACATCCACAGAGATTATATACAAGGAGGGGGATGCCCCCGCTCAGCCCCCCGTAGGGCTGAACTGGCTCATGGGGGTGTGGTACATGTAGAGGGAGCTGCCTCACTTGGAGTGTCCCCACCCGACCTTCTGCTGAGGGTGCCCTGGAAGGCGAGGGGCTAGGAGTGACACCTCGCAGGCCCCTGCACACTAGGAGGGAGGAGATGCTATATACAGGGGGCAGATACATGGAATGTGGGGGACAGAAGCTCCTGCCACCCCACCTCCCCGTCCTTAGGGGCTTGAGGGGGATGGGCACCAGGGCGCCTGGCTGCCAGGGGAGAGTGGCAGCACTAAGGGCACTTGTGCCAGTGGCTCTGTTGGGGTGAGGATTAGTGTCTGGAGTGGCCCAGCTCCCATGGCCAATGAGGTCCCAGGGTGCAGGTGAAGGTGTGGGGAGAGTGGTCACTGCTTCTTCTCTCGGGTGGTGATGGTGACCAGCTGCTTGGCTGCCTTGGCAATGTCGTAGGCGCACTGGATCACCTGCTGAGTCAGCAGCTGGAAGTCCACAGGGGCACCGGGCTCTGGGGGCACTGTCTTCCGGCACTCACTCTGCAGCCGGTAGGCGCTGGCATTGAGCAGCCGCAGTGAGCTACGCACTGGCTCCAGGGCTGGCCTCTGCAGGGAGGGAGAGAGAGGCTGGGCCTTGGACTTTAAGCCATGAGCTGTGCAGGGTCCAGTGTGTCTGTGTTTCCACCCAGGTAGCTATCAGATCAGATTCTCTGTGCCTGCCCCTGCCCGAGGCCCTCCCACTCCTGATTCTGTCTCCGGGCCCTGTACCTTCGGGAAGAGAGAAGCCATCTCTGTCACAGCCAAATGGATCTTCTCTGAGCAGGGCACAAAGCTGTGGGGGAGGGGAGGATACAAATTGGGAGGGCTCTCAAGGAGGGTTTCCAGGGACAGTGAGCACACGCCCCTGCCCCCATCCTGCCCTCCACAACACCCCCATACCTATCATGCTTGAACTCCTGGGCTGCCCGCAATAATTCCTGAATGTTTTTGGTGACCTGCTCTGTCTTCAGGATGACATCCTCTGTGCTAGGAAGCCCAGGATCTAGGTCTCCATCCAGGCTTTCCAATTCTGGGTGGAAGTCTTCCTCTTTGCTTAGCTCCAGAAACCTCTTCCCTTCCAGCCTGAGGCCCAGGTCCAAAGAAGAGAAAGACATTTTAGCTGTGGGACCGCTCGCCTTTGCCCACACAGCCACACCGGGGCCATCTCAACACCCCCTAGGGTGTGAGCAGAGCTGAGCCGGAGACCCAAGGAAGCCTCACCCAAGCAGCGGGTCTCCACTTTGCGTGTTCTCATAGTCGCTGTCAGCACCACTGCCATGGCGGGAAAGCTTGCTCTAGGGGGTGTAGGGAAGGGGCAGTGAGTACGTGTCCCTAGACCCACACAGCCCCCAGCCCATCCCTTGGGCACTGGGCATGGGACATTACCGTGTGGCGGCTTCCTTCCTGGGAGCATGACAGCAGAGGGGAGGAGGGGGTGAAGGGCACAGCCGAGGCGGACACCCCCTTCCGGATCTGAAACCCAGGCAGGCTGGAGTCAGCATCTCCTTCCCACACCCATCTCCCAGCCAGCCCGCGGTGAGGACAGGGGCGGGGTAAGTCTAGTCATCTTTAGGCCCAGCATCTAGCACAGCCGGACACCCACTGGGACTCAGAACCTATTGGCTGAAAGGCACCCACCTTCCCTGGGCCCTGCTTACCCGGTAAAGGCCAGCAGGGACGTGCACTGAATAGATGGCGTCATCCTCCAGCTCCTGCGGGTGTCGGCACAGTGAGTTCGCAGTGGGCCCTGTGGCAACCCCCTCCCTGACCCCCCACCTTGAGAGCCACGGGCCACTCACAGTGCTGTGGAAAGGCTGCAGCCGTGTAGTGAGCTCGTCCCCAGGTGGGCCCCCAAAGGGCTTCAGGGCAGAGCCTGGCTCATACATGGAGAAGGCTTGTCGGTCCCTGCGGTGGGTGCTCCCGCCAGGCCCCATGGGTGTGTGTTCTGCCCGTTCGCTCGGGAGTGGGGGTGTGGGCACCGGCCCTGGCGGCTGCCGGAGTTGCAGGTTTTCCGCTTGCAGCTTGTGGATCTGTGAGGGCAGGGTGTTGTCAAACTCTGGGTCCAGGCAGGCCCGCACCTCTGGGAGAGGGTGAGCCTCTAGTCCCACTGAGGCTGCAGCCCTCACCTCCCTCTGCAGCCTCCGGAGCTCATCGCTCAAGCTACTGTTGACCTTCATGAGCTGCTGCACTTTTGCCTCAGAGGTAGCCAGGGCCTTCTTCAGCTCCAGGTACTCCTGCAGTGTCACGGCCCCATCTGACAGGTCTGAGGAATCCATGCTCTGCAGAGAAAGACGTAAGCCGGTCAGCCACTAGGGGCAGGGGAGCCAAGACCCTCAGGGGCTGTTATCAAGGCTGTGAGCAGGCCATCTGTCCCCAGGACCCCTGGCTATGAGACAACAGAGTCGGACCCCAGTGGGGGTGGGGGAGCGGGAGCGAGGGACACAGAGGAATGGGCAGGAGGGGCAGGGAAGGAACAGTGCTCAGACCCGGGCGCGGTTGTTCCGAGTGGCGCCGGTGCTGCGCAGGGGCTCCTGGTCCGTGTCCTCGTCGGAGGCCACGCTGTCGTAGTCGTGCTGGTCGTCGAGGTCACTCTGGCTCCGCACAGACAGCTCAAGGTTGTCTGAGGACACAAGGCCTGTCACTCAGGCCTCACTCTGCCACACAACCCATCCATCATGCCACTCCATGCCTGGGGAGCCATGAAAGAGAATTTCCTGGAACAGGCAGTGCCTGATGCCCGCACCCATCCATGCCCTCCCACCTGTGGGGCTGCTTAGGCTCTTGCCCTGCTGTCTCCGCTTGGCCTCGCTGAGAATGTCGATGATCAAGGTGGCAAACTCTCGGGCATTGAAGCGAGCCAGCTTCTGTCGCCCCTGTAAGGCAGCAAGAGCCAGGTCAGCGTGAGGCTGACGCACAAGGCTGCAAGGCAAGGCCCTGCCGTCTGATTTTAACCATAGCTAAGGCATCCCGACCCAAATGCCCCTGGCCAAATGCCCAGGGGTCGGGTATAGTGCTGAGTGTCTGGGGAAGAGCCTGGGACACCCGTCAGAGCTGCTTACCGACAGCTCAGAAGAATGGCCTCTTCCCTCTTCCCAAATCTCAGTGCCAGCCGGGCCCTGAGGAAGGCCTTGGCAAAGGGTGGAGAGCTGGCCCAGGTCCCAGACCACGCAGGCTGCAAAGGGACCTCAGAGAACGGGGAGACAGCCCCAGTCCCCAGCCCAGCCCAGCGCTCTCACCTGATTCCGTGTGGCTGAGTATTCGGGGTTAACAGGCAGGAAGGGCACGGCACTGCGCTCCGTCACCAGGGTGCTGTGGTTTTGGGTAGCCAGCCACACTGTGGGGAGGCACAGGAGCAGATCAGCCACGGGAGCCGGGCCCCCACAGCCTTCCCAGTCCACTCCCACGCCCACTGAGTGCTGGGGTTCAAAACCAGAGTGGTCTTCAGGCATAGAGAGCTAGGCTGGGCCACGGCAAGGCTAGCTGGGGACAGACGAATGGAACAAGGCCAGTCCCACCAGCCCAGACCCAGAGTTGGGGCTGGAATCTGGCTGTGGCCAGGAAGGAGTGATGCAGGGGGGTGGAGCAGGACTGGGGAGACGGCCAAAGAGGGAGGCAGCCAGAGCGGAGATGAGCCCTAGCCTGGGGGTGGGGTGGGAGGAGCAGGCTGGACGCCTCTAGCTCAGCTCTGCCCAGCTGGGAAGCTGCCCAGGCGGGCCTACAGCCGGCAAGGGCTCCTGTGCAGGCCTCTGAGCAGCCCCAAGCCCAGCCACCCTCCTTTGCCCTGGTCCCACCCCTT